TTATAGTTATTTAGGGAAATAACTGCCTACACAAATATGTCATTTAAAGTGTTGGAACATCCCGTGACAGCTTCTCTGGTGTATGAATGCTAGAGTGCATTCCCCAGTTCCTTGCTAATTAATTGAATGATTCACGCAGCAATTCTCCAACAAGGAACCAGTTTTATATCACAGTAAGCTATAAATCCAAGATAATTTCATTATACAGTTATGGTAAATTTTGATGTCTACATAGCAACCGGTTTGCTGTTCAGTTGATAGCTGTACTAACCAGAAGCAGCCCATGTTGCTTCCTCAATTTGATTTGCATCTTCAGCGATATTATAGAGAACAACCTCACAGTCAAGCAAGTGTCTTAAGAGCTCTTCTCGAGAAGATACCTGGGGAAAAAAATAGTTAGACTCCGATAATTAAAAAAGAAAAAAAGAAAAAAAATCCAAAATTCCTTTTCTTTTCAAGTTGAACCTACTGATAGAATGCAGTTTTCTAACAATAGAACGTTAGAATAATTCATAAGATTGATATCAAACTTCATGTCAGACACAAGTAAGGTAATCAAATATAAATTAAATGCTGAAACTTCTAAATTACCATAAGCATTAATATAGTTCAAAAAGATGTACAATTTTTAGTGGTATTTCAGGCTTCATATTTGCAGTGCAATTGTGAGTATCAAAAACTATCTATGACTCTTTCAGGTATTTTAAACAAGGATCAGCTGGCAGAACGGAGAAGACATTAAAAAATGTCCATTTCCTTGCATAATAATAACCTGCCATTTTCATTAATGCAGACTGTGCATCACTTGAGCAAGTCCAACAAACACTTTGGGTCAGAGCAGCTCAGCTGCATAGAAGTTTAAAACAAAATTTTCAAATGTTTGAAGAGAAACTGGATAATCAATGCGAGACAGAGGCAATTTTAGTTTCAGAGAACTAAAACAAGCAATAAACAATCCCATCCTTCAAAGCAAGCCTCCTTTAGTTAACTAAGCTTTGGACAAATCTTTGTACAAAGATGTAGGCATTCAGAAAAATTAGCTGCTAGTAAAAGCTGCGATTTCAGTGAACAGTTAGGAAGAGAGGCACTAACTTTGATTAAAGGCACCACTACCTTTAAAATGGTGATAATAGCCATAGAGGAGACAAGAGAGACTCTTGAGGTGTGTGCAGTGAGGTAAAAACCGCAGACCATCAGGATAGATGATATCCTGTCCATAACTATATTTTTTTTAAAAAAAATGTGTTCTGAGTCTGAGTTCCTTCCTTTTACAATTTGTTTTATCAGACATAGCAGGGAGGAGATAACAGCATGCAGGAAGCAGAAAGGATAAAATGCATGTATACAGTTTCCAGCAGCAACAAAAGCCCATTTTATTAATGCAGCTCATTTTACGTGACTTGCAGTATTTCTAACATTGTCTAATGGCAACCTGAAATAAGACTCTTACTTACTGCATATGTTTCCTCTGCAAAACCCAGTTTACTCTCTGGATTAGCAAGGGTACCCACTATTTGGTAGACTTCCTCTGTTGACCTACTAGAAACTTCAGCAGCTGAATTATTTTCATCTTCCTCCTCTGCTGCTGCTTCTTCTACATTTTGAAGCGATGTCCCAACACCACATCTGGATAAATACTGCAATGTACAAGACAGCATTTGCACACAAATCTGTACCGAATCCTACACAGCTTCTCACAATCTTGGGAAGACACCAATGGTGTTACAGGTCATGTAGCTCAGAACACAACTTCCCTTAGAGCAGGAAAATGGTCTGGACCCCTCAACCTCAGTTGTAATGTTTTGGTTTGTGTCCTATGCCTCAAAGTCAGAGGTGTTGGTGAGTCCCTATATGACACCTCTTCTCTGCAACCTAGCTCCTCTTGGGCAGGCGTTACCTCAGAGAGATGTCACCTCTCTCCACAGCGATCAGCTGCTGCCTGAGGTCTCCCCACCTGCTTTACCCACACCTCCTGCTCCTAACTCTCTTTTTTAATTCTTCTTCCTATCCTAACTCCATCTTGGCCCCAGTCCCTCTCCTCAGCAGCTATCTTAGGTGACCCCAGCTACCCGGCCGGCTTCCCACCCGGCCAAGCTCCCTGCC